TAAAGGACCTAGTGAAAAATGATGTGACCTCACCTCTGGAGAACTCAGAAACTTTTGACATTGGGAAACAGACAAGCTTGTAGAGTTTTTCTTTCTGTGTGAGAAGTACCAAGTATCAGTATGAACATCCTATATACAAAAAGTTAGTATATATATGTATGTATGTATGTATGTATGTATGTATGTATGTATTACATCAGAACTCAGAAAAGATGTGGTAGGGGCTAGAAGAAATTAAAGAAGAGAGTCCAGGAGGTTGGGGAGGGGAGCATAGAAATGGCTCTAGCTTTTAAATGTTTACTTAAATGTTGATTATATATCCTGTCAAAGAAGGGCTGGTCCTTCAACCTCTCAAAGGCACCTTTCAAAGTAAAATAATTAAAGACAAAGGAGGAAAATCAAGTGTAATCATTTTGTACTGCCAGTAAGATTTTCTTGAGATGATATGATATAGACGTCAAACTACCCCACTTTCCTGTTTCTCTTGTAAAGAAAGAAAAACATACCTTGAAAATCAAATAGTGCTTACTGTTTATGCCAGGGTTTAGCATCTATGTAAATATTCACACACACACACACACACACACACACACACACACACACACACACACACACACACAAACTTCTATAGGTTTTTATCATCTTACTATCTGTGATTTACTCAATGTTTTATATTCCATTAATAAAAGATGCTTTTTGCAGCCCCCTGAACAGATTTTACAATCACTTTAGAAAGCCGAATTGAGAAGAGAAAGTACAGCTTATTCTCAGGTGGAGTTATAGATTTTGGGGTCTATTAGATGATTCAAGAAGGCTTCAAAGAATCACTGCTTGTTATGGTAACAACATCACTAATTCCTTTAATAATATACATCTGTGCCTATTATCAAGACCTCCCCACCCTTTGTGTCAACCTCAAGTGTGAGAGATATCATCTGGCAGTTCTGCCTCTCCTCCAGCCCATCAGACCAGTGGTACAGGTGCTAGTCATATGTTGGTTTTCTAGGTTAAAATTCCATGGTCCCTGCACTTCTGACTGTGGAAACATTCTTCTTTACTACTGTCAATAGCATGGGAACTTGTCATAATCAGTTCCAGCTGTGTGTTGAGCCAAAGTTGAACTGTTTGTTGTCAGGTCACTCAGCACATAGATGGTAAGGCTGTGATTTAGACCTGCCTGATAGTCTGTCCCATTAATGTCTACTGTAGGCAGCAATCCTAGGAGCCCTGATGGTAGAAGTGGAATTTGATGACTGAGCTAGTAAGCATAGGAATGTGTTAAGACTCCAGAGGTGGGAACACCATGAGAACAAAGATCTTGAGGAAGGTAATTACAAACAGAGGACCTGGGCTGACCAGACAAAGTACAATAACAAAGCTACTGTATCTGAAACAGAATGGCTAATGGAGACAGGGTAAAGCTAGGATGGATCCATAGGTAGGAATCAGAACACAATTTCACAGACTACAGTAAGGTGCTGATTGGGGTCATTACAACAATGCACCACTGGTGATTTCAATTGTTTTGTTACCACTTTAGTGGCAGGGATAAGAATGGATGCAATAGCAGGCTGTGAGTTGGTCAGATGAGCAATGCCAAAGATGGGCATTACGGAAATCTATAGTTTGTCCTGTTAAAACTTTTTAATCCTGATTTTGTTCCTAGAAATGGGTTAAGCATGAGAAATAAATCAACAAATTGACCAAAATTAGACACAATCCTTGACTTCAAATGAATTACAATCTGGAAAGAACTGTCATAGAAGTAAATCACTAGTATAAGCTCAATAAGGGCAACGAATTATGAAGGACTATAAAAGCATAAACACTATATGAGAGAGAGAGAGCTCACATGGGAGGTCAGGGAAGAATATCAGAATGATCAGAATGGAGGCTAACTGGGATGCAGCACTTGAAATTTATAGATCTGGTTGTGGAGCATTTGAGAAGGCAGCATATTGAGGGACAAAGTGGGAAGAGGTGACAAGGAGTTGGAAACGGCAGCAATGAGAAAACCATTGACAGTAGTACAGGTCACAATAGGAGGCTGGGCTTTATTCTATTAAATATGGAAAGGTTTTTAATGGAAACTAAATGTTTCTGGCCTCTCTTAGTTCTGTATGTCTGAGATTTAATCTGAAATTTGCCAAAGCAAGAACTACAAAATAGTCTTTGTAAAACACTTAATTTTCTGGCATTTGTTTCACATAATTAGAGAGATTTTCAAAGAATCAGCATGCCTACTCCTCCTCTAGTGTAACTGAACATTTTCAGGATAACATTGACCTTATAGTCCTCGTGTTCTGACACTGTAGTGTTACCTTTTCCAAACCTAGCATGCCTCAGTCACCTCAGGCTAATTCTGGACCCTTATGTCTTATGAGAGTATATGGGCTGGAAACACATGTCCAGTGTAAGTCTTTACAGGTGAAACCAAATAATACCTATGGCAATTGTGAGTGCCATCTTAAGAGAAGTCCAGAACAAACAATACTAAGATGCTCGGATGGTTTACACAACTTAACAACTGGGCTGTGTCTGGGCATTCCTGACAAACTCTGAACTCAAAGGAAAAGATTTCTAATGTAAAAGATTGATAGGATCTATTCTCAACTGAGGGCAGATGTTCCTCCAACTTAACAAAGGGTGTTTCTGGAGATTCTTTGCCTGTACTCCTGGGACTAAGGTGCTGCTGGTGTCCAGCCAATAGATGGCAAAGATGCAGTCAGATGCCCCATGTCAGTTCAGAGTATTCAGGACAGGACCTATGGTAAAGAATCTTCTGTCTGGAAATTTTAGTAGTACTTCATTAGTTTGGTTTATCTTTTGATATGATTATGAGTAATGTTTATTTGCTGAGAGGCAACAACTGTCCTATGGATAGAAAAATGTTTTGTTTAATTGAGAAGAAAAGTAATGTACAAATTGCCAAATTGCTTAAATATGAAAAGCATTCAACCCACTGTCATGTATGTGTCTTAAATGGAGAAGCAAGAACAGTGTCTCAGGTAGGTGAAGAATTCTTCAGAGTTTGTGCCTGTTATTTGCATTTCTCCCCAGAATACACTCTGACTAGTCTTGCCTAACTGTTATGGGCTGTGAGCTCTCATAGTCCTGAGTGGCTCTATCCTGCTTAAACATCCAGAGATCTTATTCTGATCCTCCAATGGGAGCAAAGGCCTTCTTCTGAGAAGAAAGATGTTTCTTCAACACAGGTTTCATGCAAGCCTTGTACTTATGTCTGACATTAAGTTATACAAACTGTGCTACTTTGTGTGTTAGAAACTAAGTGACAAATAAGATGAAGTTTGTGATAAATGGTGATAAGATGTTTTTACCATTCTTGCTAATAGAGTTTGGGCTAGGGGATATTTGTTAGGTGTGAGAGATGAACAGACTTTCAAAACTGAGCAATATAATGGATCAAAGTTCCCTATCATGTCACAGAAGTACAGACAGGATCCTGCTTCTCCTGGATGGGAGAAGAGCATTGCCTGGAGAAGCAACAGAGAACACTAAGAGATGAAAACTAAACCAATAATCTTATTAAATGACGAAAACCAGTTGGTACTCATTCTTGCGCACCCCCACACACACACAATTTGTGTATTATGATCCCAATTTTACTTAGAAAATTGGGTGGATGTCCCTGGAGCTAGTTGTAGATGTGATTGTGAGACCCCCCCCATCTGGGTGCTACAGATCAAACTAGATTCTTCTGCAAGAGTAATATGCACTTTTAACCATTAAGCCATCTCTTCAACCCCAGAGTCAATTATGTGAGTGTCTCTGTGTGTTTGTGTGTGTGTATACTTACATGTGTATATTTATGTGTGCATGAACATAGGAAATTGTCTTTAAAGGTACACACCAGATTGTTTGTGCCATCTGTTTGTTCAGATTGGGAAAAGGAATAAGGAATAACTTCGTTACTTAGAAAACTTGTGACTAGGAAATAAATCATGTCTGAGTGAGAAGTAGTAATTGCCAGTTTAGGTGCTGTGTTGATGTTCTAGGAGCTTAGAGAGAAGAATGGTGTCTTTCAATGGCAAGTAATAATGAAAGGCAACTTCACGACAGAATAGAATAACCATTAAGAAAAATAGTGCTGATGTGTGAGGAGAAATTACAGCCAGCAGTGTAATGGATATTTTGTGTATGCCATGAAGTAATGTGCAAGGTAATATCTTCCTTTCCAATGACTCCCTTGTTAAGCTGCAGAGGAGCATAGGGCCAGATGGCATGGACTCATTTTGCCTCCTGACCAAGTGATGCATTTTCTCCCACCTCTCCTTATGGAATTAGTTTTGTTCACTGCAGGAGTAATCTTCACTCTGGGAACAGACATGGTGGTATATGCTCTTCCTCAGGATGCTGACCCACTGACTATGATAATTCTCTTCCAGCCTTACTTTCCTCCCCATCTGGTAGTTTATGCTAGAAAGATCCTGGACCAGAATTCAGACCACAAAATTAAAACAGTCTGTTTAATGAGGCCAAATGCAAATTGCTCAAATAAAGACATTAAGGGATGAAGTGGCACCTTAAAAAGTATTTAGAGACGTCTAACCACCACTAAAGGATGCTCTGGATTCAAGTGAGAATCTTAGGATGTCATAGTAATTTCTTTATTTTTTTAAAGATTACTGTTATGAAACTACTAAAAACAAATGAAAATGACAAAATAATGCCCACATATGAGCTTAGTTAGCAGTGCTGTTTTACTTCATGTTTACTTGATAAGACAAGTTTTGTCAGACAATTAAAATAATGAACTTAAAGATACGAATATAATCACTGAAGAAAATGACAGTCACCACAGGTTCATAAATGAATATTATAGACATGATAGTTCCATTTTTAAACCATGATACCTTCTAAACATGGGTAAAATTCTGTCAGCACGAATGCATCCCTAGGGGTCTGGTGTTTGAAAGCATGTTTTGTTTGGCACATAATTTCTTTATTGTCTGTTTAATATCACTGTTGCTATTTTTCAGACCCACTATGAAAATGGAGAATATATCATCAGGCAGGGTGCAAGAGGAGACACCTTCTTCATCATCAGCAAAGGAAAGGTAAGTCTGAGCAGCATATTGCAAGAATGCATGTTTTGAGTCTTGTGTTGCGTGGGTTGCCCCCTTTTTAATCTGAGAGTTGAGCTTCCAAAAATAGGATGTAAGAAAAGAAGGTGGGTAACTTTGTGTATGGACATTAGCAGCCATGTCACTAGATGCTACCTCTAAGTCTACATAAACAGAAAGACATCCGTCAACAATGAAATACTTAAATCTATCTGGTCTTTAATAACAGTGACCTTCTTATAATGAACTATTAGGTGTTAGAATCAGATGACCCCAATTTGAATCTTCAGTAAAGTTAACTTATTTTACTGCTTTTAGGCCAATGACTTAATGTTCTAATGGCAAAGCTGATATAAACATATGTATGCTGTATTGTAGCTTCATGGAGAATGTTACTTGAATGCCAAAAGCTGGTAAAAGTAGTAATATGTAGGAGGAGGGATAAAAGCAGGTGTGACCAATATTATGAATGGGAAATAATACTGTCTTATGTTATTTTAGCTTTAAATCAATGTGAATCTATTATAATATTTATTTTTGGACTATGAAATTAAGTAAACTTAAACAAATCTTCTCACTTCCTATTACCCAAATACTTGAAATTAACATTTCATTGTAGCTACTCTTAAAGAGATTTTTTTCTATGTATCAGGTTCGTTGAGAGACAGGAAGGGAAAAGACTTACATGTCTGTTTCATTATTATAATTAATCAACTTGTTCCTTAAATATTGCACAAAATGACTAAATTTGGTACTGTAGAATTTATATGAGAAGGCTTACAGAAATGCAGTAAACAGGAAGTGTAGAAGACGCTAAATTATAGTGACTTAAATTTTAGGTGACTCTTGTGTACTAATTTTGGATAAAGATGACATATATCTCAATGTTTACAGCAATGACATGCTATACACAAATCTTATGTGTTTCTATTGTATCTACTCATTTGGTTGATTTCTGGACATCAAAGACTGGTTTTGTAAAAGACAACATAAGGAGCCAATGAAAAGGGTTCAACAGGAAAAGGTGCTTGTAACCAGGCCTAAAGACCTGAGTTTAATACCCAGGACCACACGGTAGAAAGCAAAAACCAACTACTGCAAATTGTCCTCTGACCTCCACTTGGACACTATGGCACTATGACAGATGCGTGTCCATCTATATGCACACATGCAAACAAAATAAGTAAATAAATAAAATGTAATACTTTAAAAGACAGGAACAATGAAATGATATGTGCAAACATAGTTATGTTTAAAATCATGTTTTGTGTTTTCCAAAGTTAGTGGTTAGGAATTGCTAATATGCTGTGATTTCCATAACAAACTGGCAAGCTTTGTCACTCACTGTCTTCTGTGTTAACTAACACTGATTAAAGAATCAGTCAAAGAAAATACTTCTGTTTATAAACCATTTGATGATCACAGGAGGATGGTGTATTCTGGAGTCCGGCTTTGTTATCTTTCCAAATTTTAAATTTTGGATGCCAAGGAGTAGCTATGCTTAACAATTAGGAAGGACACCCTACAGTCATTTATGACTGTCCCATTTACTGCAAATTGCCAGTATTGCCTGAAGGATGAGGTTTGTAACCCATTTTAGCTGGAAACAGGTGTGCTAGTTGTACTGTTTTATGAGTTCTGTAACATGTATAAATAGAAGAACTTGGAGATAATACCACAGAAGCCAATTGTCAGTAGTTTGGTACAATGTTAGAATTTTGGGAGAGTAATAGTCATAATATATTATGTTCCTTTGACACAGTCAAGTTTTTTGATAAACCAACTATAGAATTTTTCTTAGTTTCTAGGGTTACACAAGTTAGTTGCTATTTTTCACAACTCTGACAATTGTTACACTAATTATATTAATTTTAATAATAATATATTAAAATCAGTATAAGAAGCAGAAGGTATGTATACCTGACTCCCCACTGCATGGAATAGGAAAGAAAATAGTGGTTTCACAATAAATAAGCTATGAAATTAGAATTGTAAATAAACTCACTATAAAACTTATTTATTGTAGGTAAAACATTGTGAAAATTTCCCCATGCATTTATAAAATTTATAAAAAGTAACCCTGGTAAAGGATTTTTCCAAAAAAATATTACTGGATTTTTATTTATTTTGTGAATGCATGTTTGAATGGGGGTGCACATATCTCTGTGTGTGTGTGTGTGTGTGTGTGTGTGTGTGTGTGTGTGGAGAGCCTGGATGCGTCACCATTCACAGCTAGCAAATGTTATATTCTTATTACACATATTTACGTGTAAACAAGTCCACACTGGACATCAGAGGACAGTTTGTAGGGGTTGGTTCTCTCCTTCCATGATGTGGGTACCAGGTTTGAACCCATGTCATCAGGCTTCTCTACTCACTGAGCCCTCACACAAGCCTTAGTAAAGATACTTTCTTTTTTAACATTTGTCTTCATTACTTATCTATTGCTATGATGAAACACAATGGTCAATGTAAAGAATAAAAGAAAACATTTAATTTGGGGCTTATGAGTTCAGAGGGTTAGATTGCATGATGACAGTATTGCATGCTTGGCAGTATGAACAGATGAGTGTTTGCAGGCACATGGGCAAGTTGGAGGCAGAGAAACCAAGAGACATCTGTAATTGCCTCAGTTTTTTGAAACCTCTAAACCTCTAGACCCAGTGACACATTTCCTCCAACAATGTCACACCTCCTAATCCTTCCCAAATAGTTCCACCAGTTAGAGATCAAGTACCCAAACCCATAAGCCTATAGGAGACATTCATCTTCACCACTGGGCTGAACAGTTTTCCTTTTTAAAAATACTATGAGATGGGAGGAGGTGCACAACAGTGGCTGTGGAGCAACAAATGTATTTTCCCTTGTTCAGTTATGTTGGCATAACTGAACATGTTTTATTCTTCCAGCAAATGTATGCACACAAAAGAGAAACAATATAAACTTTTAAAAACATGTTTTCTCTTAATGGACATTTATAGTTTTTTTTCCTCTAAAATCTTGGGGCTCAATGCTTTCAGCAGCAATGTCTAACTTTGAAAGTAAATTCAATCTCTGTTTATTGGTAGATAGATTTTTTTTCTGGGAACATGGCATTTTCAGCAGAAGAAAGAAGCATCAAAGAATTCTGCAAATATCCCCAACAGTGTTGCATCAATACCCTGTCTCTCTAAAATTGAACAGGATTATTAAATTTCAAATTAAAGCCCTGAATTATGGGGCTGGGGAGACGGCACAGTTGTGAAGAGAGCATACTGTTGCTGCAGTGGACAACTGTTTGGTTCCAAGTGACCCTCTGTAATTTCCTCTTGAAGGGATCCTATGCTTCTGACTTCTACAGTCACCTGCTGTCATGTACACATACCCCTCGTCCCCACATACCTATTTCCCTGACACACATCATTAAAAACAAGTAAAAAGTAACTATTAACAATGAAGCTGGCATGCACCTACATGCTTAATAATGGCTAAATGGGAGAGAAAGTTGACTATACCAAATTCTAGTGAAAAGTGTACCAAGTAGAATTCTAAGACATTATTGGCTAAGATTGCAAACTTAAAATATTCTGAAAAGCAATTGACTGCTTAAAAAGTTAATAAATGTTTACATATGATTCAGCAGCCTCATGCTTTATTTATCCTAGAGGATTGAAAGTGTAGTTCTAACAAAACATGTCCATCAATATCTATAGCAAGGCAATACAAGAGAAAAATGGTCAAAAAGGATAATTGGATATAATCATACAAACCAAATATAATTTGAAAAAAAAGGTTCCTTTTCTATTAGCTTCAGGACAATGCTCTCTAATCCCCACCTTCCTAGAAAACCAGCAACTTTACAATGATAAGTGCTAATTACAGAACTAAATATATGAACTTCCATTCATGGATAGTGAAAGTAGATATTAGATATTTGTACTCAGAGTCAACACCTGAAAAACTTTGGTCCATACTTGTTCTTTATTTGTGCGAGCATTGACCCTACTGAAACCCTTATTTGTTGGTGCCAGAAAGCAAGTACAGGAATATTTGTAGAAATTTTGTTAATAATATCATACCAACAATGGGTAAGAATAAAACTAGGAGCTATATTTGCATCTAGGGAATTGCTAAGCTGCATACTATTTATGTAATAGGATGCAACACAAATAGAGGAAATGAGTTTGAGCTGCTTATATTAACATGAATGAATCAGAACCCCTGAGAGTATGGAACCAGTCACTTCTACTTTAAATAAGACTCCCCACTGCAACTTCTTCATCTATAAAAGCCTCATCAACATGCAAATTAGTATCTCTATGATATAGCTTAGCGGTAACTGACAGTTAAAACTGAATTTTCACGGTTTGAAACACCATGTAGAGGAGTAATCAAATGGATCAGTGGAGAATAATAATTGAATTCCCTCTACCTTGCACAAACCTTCCTAATGGTAATAAAAGTTCTCCTCATTGATGTCCAATGTCTAGGTTGAGAAGCCTAAAGCATGCTGTTTTTAATGTGTTTAAGTGCTTGATGTTGTCTCAATAAATTAGTTTTCTACTTCATTGCCTTTTTCAGGTAGTGAATTTTAATTATTTAACCTTTCTGGATGGTAGGCATTATTATTATTTTTACTATACATCAAAGAAGTGAATGAGTGAAAAGATACCATTTAGAGTAATTATATTTTCCCCAAACAACAAGGAAACAGCATTGAAAAAAAAAAGGGAAAAACACTGAGAGGGAACATCATTAAATTCATCAGGATGGTTGCTTCACTGAAGGTAATAAAATCAAGAGTAGCAGTGAATATTAAGTGAAATTCTTATTTCTCAACAATGCATTGTTTTTTAAAAGGAGATGAAATATTCATAATAAATTCCTGGGAAAACATGGGATTTGCAAGCATGCAGCTGAGTTAGACATTCCTCTCTCTTTGTAGGTGAATGTTACTCGGGAAGACTCACCCAGTGAAGACCCAGTCTTTCTTAGAACTTTGGGGAAGGGAGACTGGTTTGGAGAGAAGGCCTTGCAGGGGTAAGTAGATCACATGTGCACAGTTTTTGCTTAAGTGCTATACAATTTACTGAAAAATTGAGCTTCTAGTAAAATAGACCCTTCTTGTCGGGCCCACACTAAGATCTTTGGCTGTTGCATTCACCAAGTTCCAGCTGGATTTGTGAACTGCTTACATCAGCTGTGGGATTGAGTAAGCTTCTAATATATGTGTGTGATCTTAATCAGAGCATGTTTTAACTTTGTGTTCCTTAAGTGAAGTCTCTCTATATAACTCAAACAAGAGGGTAAGAACTCCTAACCTTACCACGGACACTTTTCTTTGGAATCAGAGGAAGGAGGCTGACTAAGGAATTTGAAATCTTTAAACCTGTACCAACAGTGAATCAGCAATGAAGTCAAACTAGAAGTACGGTCACCTCTGGTGACTGTTGTCACTGCTGTTACTTTGGTGGAGATGGAGACACATACACCTGAATTCACTGTGCGAAAACTCTGAAGACTGGGTTAGTGGAGGTGTACTTTAAGAAGAGTGCAACTTTGCTTTTTCAATGCAATTCAGCTTTTGGGACTTGGCAAGAACTTGAGATTTCTTCCCGAATCATATGGAAGGGAAGCCAAGTTGGTTATGTGATTTGCATTTTACAGAATGTATGACAAATATTTGGGGGGCTGTTATCTTCCAATAAGCAACATATTTCCTTAAATCAATAAATAGAGACTCCTAAGTTTCTAGTGCATATGTATCTGCAGAACTTGAAGAAGAGCCAACTAAATTTTGTTGTTGTCTTTATAGCAGTGGGATAGAATTTACTCCGATTAGAATATCATTTTCAAATTATAAGCATTCATATAAAAGTGCTATAAAAATAGTGTCACAGTTGGATGGCAGATTTTACTCTGCTTCTTTTCACAGCTGCAGTCATGAAACCAGGGTATCTCTATAGTCAGCTAAGTCGGGCTGTACCACTGGAGGAAAATTGAGAATGAACTATACTAACTCTCCGTTTGTCTTTTATTGGGTTTGTTTGTTCCTTATCTGGTGAACATGCATCACCATTAGATTTTTTCCAATTTCAAAACTGGCGGATGGCATGTATAGTGGGTTCCCAAAAGGGTGCAATGAGCACTATATCCCTAGACTGAAGCCCACAAAACTCACGGTTTCATTTGTCTTTTCTTGGATTATTTAATGCATGTAGGGCTCTATAGAATGTTACTGGGTAATTTCAGTGGTACAAAGATCATCTGCTTCCAGGAAAAACAGTGTTATTTCCACAGAGAAAACCAAATTAGGAAAGCAAAACAAAAACAAAGGAGGCAAACTAGAGAACCTTTCTAATCATTTGCAGCTGAAATCAGGAGTCGAATGTTGGAAATAAATTATGACTGGGAATCACAAGATGGTCTTTTGTAGTGTATTGTCACAAGGATCAGGTGCCAAATAAAGATGACTTTCGAAGTTGAAAATACCTTCCTGGAAAGTACAATGCTATGAAAATTTAATCAAGTTTTGCTATGATATCAAAATTTATGTTAATGAACTCCATGTTGCATTCTTTCTAGCATCTTTTGAAGAAAAGTTTTCATTTTGACAGTTTCATGTATATTTTGTTTCATTCATATGTATGTAAATATATGATACATTGGGATTATATTTATCCTCATTGTCCTCTTTTATGTACCATCTTTTTCCTCTGAATCCCTTCTTCCTAATTTGTCTCCCCAGATGGATACTCCATTGAGTAAAATGATCTCCCTTCTGTAGCAATAGTTAGCAGTCAACAGCTCCTTAGGAAGGGTGGCGCCTCATGGAGTTCCCCTCTTCCATGACATTTAAGGCACTGTCTCGTGCAGGTATTCCTTGCTGTCTATGTGCTCCTGATTCCAATTGCTGAGTAGTCTCTGGGTTGCAGTGATTCATGCAACTTCTTATATGCTTTCCATCTCCTATTCTACCATATTCCCTGGGCCTTCGATGGGGAACAATATAGATGCCCCAATCAGGACTGAGCACTCAGTGGTCATTTATTCCCAGCACCTTCACCAGATATGAGTCCATACATTGTATCCCTGTTCAAAAAGGAACTTCTTTGCCTCAGGCTGATAGTAACACTAATCTGTGGATAAAAATATAAAAATTTAGAAGGGCATTTAACAACATATTCATTTAAAGAAACACAGTAGTGTTTCCTTTCTGGGGCCGTAACCTCCTCAACCCGAGGCTTTGACTATGTTTACAGTACCAGATGTGTATTATTCAAATGTAATGGGCTCCAATACAATCACAAAGCAGTTGGGTACCCCCTATACAACTGTGCTGCTATTGGACCAGTAGGAATGTATTACCTAGTAGCTTGATATTGCAGCCAGCATGGCTATAGTTGGGTGAAACTACTGACATTATTTTCCCTATTAGCATCTTTTTTTTTCCATTTTTATTTGAATTAGAAAAAAGATTGTTTTACATGTCAATCCAAGTTCCCTTTCCCTCCCCTCCTCTACTACCACTAAAACCCTACCTATCCCATACCCTTTCTGCTCCCCAGGGAGGGTGAGGCCTTCCATAGGGGGTCTTCAGAGTCTGTCATATCCTTTGGGATAGAGCCTAGGCCCACCCGCCATGTGACTTGGTGCACAGAGTATCCCTCTATGTGGACTGGGCTCCCAAAGTCCACACCTATGCTAGGGATAAGTACTGATCTACTACAGAAGGCCCCATGATTTCTGAGGCCTCCTCACTGACACCGAGGTTCCTAGGGTCTAGATAAGTCTCAAGCTGGTATCCCAGCTATCAGTCTGTGGACCAAGAGCTCCCCCTTATTCAGGTCAGCTGTTTCTGTGGGTTTCTCCATCCTGGTCTGTACAACTATTCTCATCACTCCTCCTTCTCAGCAACTGGATTCCAGTTCAGTTCAGTGATTAGCTGTGGGTGTCTGCTTCTATTTCTACCAGTTGCTGGATGAAGGCTGTAGGATGGCATATAAGTCAGTCATCAATCTCATACTGATTTCCAAAGTGGCTGTACAAGTTGGCACTCGTGTTTCTCTTTCTCCACATCCTCTCCAGTATAAACTGTCATTGTTGGTTTTGATTTTAGCCATTCTGACAGGAGTAAGATGGTATCTCATAGTTGTTTTGATTAGTACCCTCTAGTACTATGGATGCTAGTCAGCAGGGACAGAGTTTTCTGTTCACTTCCAAGTTGTTTTCTCTATGTTCTTTAACCAGTGTGCTGTCTTTGTCCATAGATACTTAGGAAGGATGGGGCCTCCTAAAGTCACCTGTATCCATATAGTTCTGATGAGAAAACAAGTGGTAATTATGTAGCAAATATTCTTTTGGGGGAACCAATTTAGCTAATTTCTAGCATATTCTTGGTACCAATAATTTATGTTCTCTCTTCATCTAACTCTATAATGTCCCTCCACCTTTGTATCCATCAATTCTAAGTGCCTTCTTAAATGTCATCAATACTTGCTACTTCATAAAATGATCTTTTATCTTCATTTAACTTCATTTCTCAGCCATAAATTTTATATAGTTGCATTGATGACCTATCCTGTTTAAATCACACACCTTTTGAGATCCTTTATGTAATTAATATTCTTTAGAATTCATTTATCTAAAATTTATCAGTATTTTGTCAACTCTTTCTGTTATCCTGGTAATTCCTCAAGCTCTATATCTGAATATGACTTCAATGAAAGAAGTCCTAATTTTTTATCCTTTGATTTGATCCCAGAATTTTGCATTAGTCTTATATTCCACATCTTCCTGTTGAATGAATGATAACTAAATGGAATTTTAAAAAATGAACCTCTCTAATGATACCCTAGCCAGTAATACCCTCTGTTAATATTTCCTTCACTAATAAAATTTGTTTGGAGGTACAAAAAGGGTTTTGAGCTCATGTGATTGTAGGGGTCATGTTAGACATGAAAATGAAAGGTGAATGTGATGGCAACTTTTCATATCGTCTTGACACAATTTAGAATTACCTGAAAATAGTCTTGATATGGGGTTGTCCAAATCTGTGAGGGATTGTCTCAATCAGTGGGAAGCTTTTTATGTCACCATAAAAAGAAACTGTTCTGGACGAGAGTGAAAAAAGAGAACTGAGCTCAGCAAGTATGCATGTGTTCATTTTTCTCTGCTTTCAAGTAGATTGCACTAGCTGCTTCACATTTGTCCAATGATGGACTTAGCCTGGAATTATGAGCTAAAATAGACTCTTTTCTAAATTGCCTTTGTCACAGTATTTTTTAATTACCGCAACAGGAAATGAAACTAAGACAGTGAGTAGAATAAGAAGGCAGTTTGCAAAGCCTTCTGTAACGAAGAGGGCAATTGCTGAACTCCCATGTGATTCTCCTCCACAAGGATGTGACCTCAGCTTATTAAAAAGAAAACATGAGTATGATATGAAATTCAATTCCTAATCTTGATTACAAAACACAAATCTTAAAGCTAATAAACAACTTTCAGCAGAATGGCTTATGGGTTGCAATTAGGTGATTTTTGATAATTAGAGATACCTCGCTAAAATATCCTTTCCATGACTTATATTGCATTAAGCCTTGAATTGAAGAAAGCCTCCTATATGAACATCTCTAGATAATTCCCCTGTTTTGATGCTTTGACATGTTAGCATTTTAGATCTGTATCGTGGTTTGAAAGAAAATGGCCCCATATGCTCAGAGAGTGGCACTATTAGGAGGTGTGACCTTGTTAGAGTTGGTGTGGCTCTGATAGAGGAAGTTCATCACTAGGGGCAGGCTTTGAGGCCTCAAATGCTCAAGCCAGGTTTAATGTGACATTCACTTCCTGCTGTCTGCTCCAGCACCAAGTCTATATGTGCACCACCATGCTTCCAGCCATGACAATAATGGACTAAATCTCTGAAGCTGTGAGCCAACCATAATTAAAAGTTTTCCTTTGTAAGAGTTGCCATGGTCATGGTTTCTCTTCACAGCTAGAAACCATAAGATAGTCTGTAATGATTTTTCAAGTTGAATCTA